ATTTGTTTTTTAAATTCTTCCAATTTGTTTTAATGACATTGATTGCATCGATTATTACCTTTTCCAAAAAAAAAAATTTGGAAAAAAAAAATGTTACCCTCGACCCTCGACTTGGTACCCTGGCCCTCGACATGGAACCCTCGACCCTCGACCCTCGACAAAAAGATAGACTCCATAAAGAGCAAACGAATAATTAAAAAAGCGCCTTCCGAAGCGATGTGCGCGACACCTAAAATTGCGAAATGTGTTCTTTAGTTACATGTAATAATTGGCCAAGGGTGATTTCAAATCACCGTAAGCTCACTTGTATAAAGTGATTTTGTAGCTCTAAGTCCGTCATGTTGGCCGGTCTTCTCCTTCGCGAGCATTTTCAAATTTTAGGATCGTATTTTTTACCGCATACAAACACTGTAATTTTACTGGATTCGTACTGTGGTATTATCAAAGAGACTGGGCTTTTTTCTCCTGGGTTCCAAAAGTAACTAGAAAGTGTAAGAGTAAACATTGCTTGCCCTGTGGTGCAGACTTACGATCGTTCGTTCCGGTCGGTGTACGGTCAAGTGATTACAAAATGTTTCTGGGATGGGTAGATTTGCTTACCCATGGTACTCGGCAGGCGCGCCTGAGAGCTCAGCTAAAACTAAAAATAATTATCTGATCCACTACCTCGAATGAAAATAGGTTGACATAGCCATACTACATAGAAAATTAGGCTACTTATTAAATCTTGATCAGTGCTACGTGACTAAAGAGTGCCTTCTTTTCTTGTCTTTAAAATTAACTGGTGAGAGACTGGCCGGAATACACTGAAGCATTTTCTTAAATGCGTATTAGATACATCTGTGCTTGGCACTTTTGTGTTAACTCTCCCGCTTTATGTACCTTGCATGCTAAGCCGTGTACGTTTCCTTTACGGACTCTTATATACATGGTTGCTTGCGTAATATAGTGATTGTTATCTCGATAATAAACAACAGACAATTAAAAAAATACAAACTTACAACTTCTGTAGCTTAGATAGATTGTAAAATATCCCAAATGGAAGCTGTTCAATTTGGTTGTTGTACAGCCACCCGCAAGAATAAGGTTAAGGTTAAGTAAGAATTATCAGTGAAAGACCACCTAATCCTAATCCTTTGTTTGTTTTTTTTCTCGTTGGAGCTATGCTTTAAACGGCACTATTTTACATGCTCCTGCCTGCATTGTTTCCCGCCTTCTGGTACGCTAGGTTTCAATTTTAGATTAACATAACGACCAAAAAGATATATTTAAGTAATTTCCACAAGTCCTAGCCTGAATTTCATCCGGTTACCTCGAGTCGTTATTACTCCCTCCGTAACGATTCGAAACAATCGGATGAATTTCAGGCTAGACAAGTCCATGGTTCATGTGGTTTGCACTCTTTTATTGCCATTGATTATTTTAGTTTAAAACTAGAAATTGGTTTAAAGGTCAAATGAACAAAAAAATTGACATTTTTCCTTTTCTCGTTTTTCCTTTACCCGGCACATTAAAAGCAAGCACCCTAAGTGAGATTTAGGCAAAGGTTTTTTTTTTCAAAGCCTTTATCAAATCCGAGCAGTTACGAAGACTTGTGAATGACCAAAACGATTGATATAATGTGTTAGGTAGCGGTGAGCCGTACAAGTTTGAGCGGCCGGTTTTGGGAGAAGAATCTTATGCCTCTAACAACTCCTTCGATGGCTTAAAGCGTGAGCGTATGATTCATTTCCTCCATAAATGGTTGCTATGAAAGCGACGATATATCATTGAAATGAATACGTTCAGGAATTCCTCAGGAAATTCTTGCCTCAAGCTGTTTCTCTATTCGGTTTTTGTTGCGTTCGCGCCCACCTAGAGCTCCGCTTTGAATGCGAATGCAAATGCAGAATGGTATTATTATTCAGAGTTATTATTTTAAAGAGTTTCTCAATGACCCATCTTGATTTTTGCGGGGATCATATGTTATAGTATCTCTTATTTGCTAGGAGGGTTTAAGGGTTTTACTCTCTTGTGATAAACTATTTAGTTAGTAACTCGACTTTTATTCGATAAAATCAAACAATGGTCATTGCATTTGAAGAAAACAGTTTTTTTGGGACGGGAACTTTATTGCTGCCATCTGAAGATAGCAAGGCATCATAAGTTTTCTGCATTGTCTGTCACTTATGTCCAGGTTTACACGCAGCAGCAAAAATTGCGATTTTTCTAGTTGCGATTTTTCGCAGTTCTTTGTCATGTTAATCACTGAAGTCCAGAGCGAGTTGTCGATTTAACAAAATTTGCGAAAATTGCGAAAAATCGTGAGTCTGACGATTTTTTGTCACTTGCGATTTCTCGCAGTTCTTTGTCATGTTAATCAGTTCACTGTTCTCGTGTTCATGATCACCTAAAATAAAACCGTTTGCCGATTTTTTTGTCCGAAAAGTTTCCGCTTTACTTGCCATTTTGGTATTTCCCTGTCAGCGCAATTAAAGCATTTCTACAAGCAAAAGCCAACGCAGCCAATCTTTAAATAAAGGTTTGTTATCTAAAGGTTCGAGTGATATTCGTGAGATTCCATTGTATTTCAAGTTTCATCATTTTATGCCTTCTTTAAACTAGGAGTTTTCGAACAAGGGATCAACATCATTAACGTATTTTTCAACTGGTCAAAGTTATTTTTTCACATTACATCTTGAATACAGCATCATTCACTTCAATGTAACAATTATTTTCACTAGAACATCTAAATTATGTGGTCGTTTCGCCCTAAAGTGAATTCGCCCGAGGTTGCTTCGCCCGCACTTGTTAAAGTCGATCCCACCGATGACAAACAACACTCTACAACACCGCTTATTAAAGATGCTTTTCGCTTTGATTATTTTGCCGCCGTTACTTAAACAGGTCAAGCGTTCTGCACGATCTTAGAAATCTCGACGATTGCTACGTCGATCTTGAATATATTTTGTATAAAGTCGTCACTGCAAAATGTTGTGGATCACTATTCTGTCACTTTCACTTTCAGGGGCGGATCTAGGGGGGGGGTGCAGGGGGTGCGCACCCCCCCTTCAGATGACCTGCGGTTTTCTAATACAACTGGTATTCTGCAAAAAAAAAAACTATGTGGTTTATTGGTGTTGAAGTAGAGCAAGAGACGAGCCGGCACCCCCTCCTAAAAAAAATCCTGGATCCGCCCCTGACTTTGACGCTTATTCCTTGAAAAATCAACGTCGTGCAAATCCAAAAGTAATATACCTCGGGTCTTTAATGCTCATGCCCCAACAACAACACTATACATGTCATATACTTCGTTCTTTATCCACCAACCCCAGCTAAGCCTTCTTAATTCGAATCAGCCATTCTTGTTTTACAGTATTCGGCGACTTCAAGACTGCCACCGAAGACTAAGAACATTTTTACACCTAGTCCATCGCCAATTTACTTCATTGGGGACTATGGACGGCGAACATAGCTAGGTCGGTTGCGGGTGCCATTAAATCTGACTGAGACACCGGAAAATGGTCCTATATGGTTAAACCTGATTGCTTTAACTTACTAACACCTAAATTTCTTCTTTCGTGGTCTCTATCGGATTGCCCAAAAAGTACTTAATTTTAAAAGAACTTTTAAATATTAATTAATAATGACGATGTAATAAAAATGAGAACTGGTCAAGAATTACAGGATTCGAACAGGTTTTTGGATTTAAACTTGAACACTTTTTGCTATTTTTTCTTAAGTTCAACTAAGGAAAAATCAATGTCGGGCGAATCCACATGTAATAGATGTTCTTTAATGCTCATGGACCCAAACAACAACACTATACATGTAATATACTTCGTTCTTTAATCCACAAATCCCAACAAAGCTGTTGAATACGAAGCAACCATTGCAATTTTACTAAAATTTTTGGCGACTAACGGACTGCTCACCGCTGTAGTAGTACACTTTCACGTACCTAGTCCATTTTAAAATTTGCAACGCTTGGAATGTGGTCAACTTTCACTTTGTGAAAAAAGAGTATTAAATTCCCTGCCCAACGTAGCTACTTAATGTTAATTTGAAAATTGTAAAATCGACGCAGTTCAAACGAGTTTTAACCGACGTTTCGGCAATGCTGCCTTCTTAGGGGTACAAGACTAGATGAGACTATTTTTGTACCCTGAAAAAGACAGCATTGAAAATACGTCGGTTTAACCCATTCGCTCCTGGAGATTTTGCCGAAAAACGCGTTTTGAAGCTAGTCGAGTGGTTTTCTGGTCACTGTCGTGCTATAAAGAGCTAAAACTTACCACAAACCGGTTTACAGGTTGTACACTTGGCGGCCTTCTGATCCAGATGCATAATATCAGCTTGCGAAGTTCGGGCATGCGCAGAAAGCAAAATGTAGAGAGAGTTTTTGGGTTTAAAAGTGACACAGCAGTCTTGACTTTTACTTTTCGCTTTCTCTCCTCCCTTCTTTTTCGCTTTTCTTGCCTCATTTTTTTTCTCTTGCTGGGCATTTAGTAGGCTTCATTTTGGTGGGAAGAGTTTTTAGGAAAGCTTTTAGGATCGTAGGATTAGGTGAAAGGAAAGGTAGGTGGGTAATGGAACAAGATTTTCATGGAGATTTTCAGGTCCTTGTCACGTGGTTTTTTGCTTCTTTCTCCGGTGTCCTTGACTGAATTGTGCTCATTCTGGTATGGTTTGAAAGATCTCTTCAAACTGCACAAGTTAGCGAAGAAAGTTGTCCTTGACCGTTAAAACTGATGACGTCACAAAGGGTAGAAAGGACCTGGATCCGCACGGGCGGTTACGGGCGGTTCAGGGGCGAATGGGTTAAAACTCCTTTGAACAGCGTCGATTCTACCTCGCATTTGCATACATTCTGAGATCACATGAGATAGCAAGTCACGTGACTTCGAGCTCAGTGCGAGTTTGATTTCGGGCAAGGTCACTTGGAGCACTAGTCGCTCCCACAAAATTTTCAGAAATTTCATCCATTTCTCGTTCAGAGCCTCAAGCCGAAGATATTAGCGATGTCAAAACAATCTGAGGACGATCTCCTCGCCGACGAAATTGAGGACGAGGGCGAAGAAGACCAGATAAACAAGGATTCGCTACCCGACGAACGCAACGCGGTGCCTGCACACGCTTCACGACAACTCAAGGACAAAACAGCCGCTTCTTCGGAAGAAATTAGCCAACTCACCCACGCAATTCTAGGCCTGACGAAAAGCCTGCCAGACCTCATCAATTCGCCGCGGGGAGAGACAAAAGACAAAGGGAAACGGCCGGCGAGCAAATCTCCAAACGCTGTTCCCGCCAAAAAAGCAAAAAACAAAGATGGCGAGGCGAGAAGCTCCACGAGCGCCTCCGACCAGTCAACTGACTGCGAGAAACTCTATGACTCTGTGTTAAACAACAACAGTGATGAGTCAGAGCAAAACACCACTCGTAGTGGTGATGAGGATGATTTCCTCTCGGAACTCGTAAAAGAATACGAGTCTGACGATATCGTGGGCGAAAGCCTCGAAAATGAGAAACTAGCCAAGCTAGTTGACAAAATGTTCCGCTGCAAACTAAGCGAGAAAAATCTCAAAGACCGGCTTGAGAGGCAGGAGAGACCGGCTAATTGTACTACAGCCAAGCCTCCCAAGGTAAACCCGGGCATTTGGCGTCGACTGAGAGAGCCAACTAAGAAGAGGGATTTACAATTTTTCAAAATACAACAAGCCCTCACAAAAGGCATCCTGCCAGTTGTCCGAATCACGGACAAGCTTATGCAGGCAAAATCGCTTAATGCTGATGAATGCCAAGACCTAAAGAAACAGGGGCTGGAGGCCATGTCCCTCCTCACTCATGCCTCTTATGAAATAAACATGCAGCGCCGTCTTCTACTGAGACCAGATATTGGGAGGGAATACTCAGCTCTCTGCTCCTCCCAATTGCCATTTACAGATTTTCTCTTTGGAGATGATCTACAAAAGCATTTGAAAGATATTGGCGATCAAAACAAAATCGGGGCCAAGATCACCCCTAATTATAAAGGGCATCGCCCTTCTCCAGGAAGACCTGGCAATAACAGCTATAATGGCTATAAGCAGTCAAAAAACTGGAGAGGCAACAACTTCAAACCTTGGAAATCCAAGAACAATGCCAACCGGGACAAGACAACCCGGACAAGCCAATAGAACACTTGCTGCCAGCTACTAGCACAGTAAGTATATGTTCGCCTCTTTGTACCAATGTATATATTGCTGGAAACATAGCTAAGCATTTCAGAGCTTGGCAGACGCTCACGTCTGACCCCTACATTTTACGCATCGTTAAGGGTTACCAACTAGAGTTTTGCAACCCTCCTTGCCAGGCGCTCACCCCTAGAGCTGTCAAACTTTCTTGTAAAGAGACAGATATTGCTACTACTGAAATTAACAAGCTTTTAACTAAAGGGGTCATTAGGAAAGCTACTCATGTTCCTGGTGAATTTATCTCAACAATTTTCACCAGGCAAAAAAAAAAGATGGGTCTCACCGTCTTATTTTGAACTTGAAAAAGCTAAATGAGCATATTGAGTACCATCACTTCAAGATGGATTCACTGCCTCACGCACTTCAACTTATGAAGCCTAATTGTTGGATGGCTGTCTTAGACCTAAAAGACGCATACTACTCTGTTCCTATTAGGACTGAGGACAGAAAATACCTTCGTTTCGAGCACGAAGGCCAACTTTATGAATTTGTTTGCCTTCCTAATGGCCTCTCTAGTGCACCCAGAATTTTTACCAAATTGTTAAAACCTGCCCTTGCCAAATTAAGGGAGGAGGGGGTGCTTCTAGTAATTTACATTGATGACATTATACTTTTTGCCGATGACCCTCAGACATTGGTCATATTTATACAAAGGGCTATTACATTGTTGCAGTCTCTGGGATTCACCATCCATTCTGATAAATCCCAACTTGTCCCATCCCAGAGAGTCAATTTCCTGGGTTTCATTTTAGACTCGGTTGTGATGACAGTCTCTATGAAATCGGACAAGGCTGATAAAGCGAAATCAGCCATTTTACAGCTCCTCAGAACGGAGCAGCCTCTTATTCGAGAGGTTGCATCTGTAGTTGGGCAAATGTTGTCATGTTTTCCTGGAGTCAAATATGGCCCACTGTATTACCGTGCTCTTGAAAATGACAAAACTGATGCTTTAAAGACGAATGGGTGGAACTTAGATGACAGAATGCTCATCTCTGATATAGCTAAGAAAGACATGTCTTGGTGGCTTTCAAATATTGACAATGATCCATGCTCTGTCCGGCCTATGAAATACAAATTAACCCTTAAATGTGATAGCTCTCTAGAAGGATGGGGAAGTGTTATTGAAAATTCTTCCCTTGCCGCAAATGGGCGATGGTCCCACAGTGAGAGTATGTGCCACATAAACTATTTGGAGATAAAAGCAGTCCTGTTTGGCCTTCAGTCCTTGTGCTCAGACTTAACAAACTGTAACATCAAAGTCTTGTCTGATAACCAAACAGCGGTTTCCTACTTGAGAAATATGGGTGGCACTCACTCTCGGGACTGTAATGAGATTGCAGAGAGAAACTCTTCTGTGGTGCAAAGACAGGGGCATATCCTTAGTTGTCACCTATTTACCTGGAAAACTTAATGTTGAAGCTGACCTAGCAAGTAGACATTTTCATGATGACACGGAATGGTCATTAGACACTCATGTTTATAACAGCTTAATTACTAAATGGGGTAATCCTGAGATTGATCTTTTTGCATCAGGGTTGAATGCAAAACTGCCCTGCTACGCAGCATGGAAACCTGACCCATGTGCCCATTTTATTGATGCCTTTACACTTGACTGGTCTGTGTTTAAACTTGTTTACTGCTTCCCACCTTTCAGTGTTATTGGGAAAGTACTTCAGAAGATAATATTCTCCGAGACAACAGCAATCCTAGTTCTCCCCGACTGGCCAACACAGTTTTGGTACCCACGAGTAATGTCACTGCTAGTGGCGCCTCTACACCGAATAAAGCTGCAGAAGTCAACCCTGACCCTTCCCCACGATGTCAAGAACGTCCATCCCCTCTACCCCAAGCTCCGACTGATTGGCTGTCTTGTGTCAGGAAATCCCTCCAGCTGCAAGGAATAACTGGTGAAACTTTGAACATTATTATTGATTCTTGGAGAGAAAGTACCCAGAAGCAATACAGATCCAGCATATCAGCTTGGATAACTTACTGTAAAGAACAGAAGATCAGCATTACAACACCTTCATTACCACAACTGTTGGACTTTCTAACTCTTCAGTCCAAAAAGCTTAGCTACAGTGCTCTAGGGACCACTAGAAGTGCTCTTTCCTCATTCATCAATATTGATGGCTTCAAAGTAGGAGAACACCCTATTATTTCACGTTTTATGTCGGGTGCTTTCAACAGGAAACCAACTTTTCCCAGATATGTGGAAAAATGGAACCCCCAAATTGTTCTCAGCCACCTCAAGGGCTATCCTGACACCAAGGAAATGTCTCTGAAGCAATTGACTTTGAAACTGACTATGATTTTGGCCTTGGTTACTGCACAACGAACACAGACTCTTAAGTTGCTGTCAATCAATGACATGCAATCTAAAGATGGAGAATATGTTTTTCAAATTACTTCCATTCTAAAGCAAACAAGCGCTCATGGTGGCAGGCAAAGACACCTGCCACCTATTGTGTTGAAGAAATATGACCATGATAAAACTCTTTGCGTTTTTACATTGTTACAAGAGTATCTTATTAGAACTTCTAACTTAAGGGGTTCATGTTCTCAACTCCTGATTTGCCACTGCAAGCCTCATGGGCCTGCTTCTAAAGACACTATTTCTAGGTGGCTCAAACAAGTTATGCTTGACGCTGGAATTAATACTTCTGTTTTTAAGCCTCACTCCACCAGAAGTGCAGCCACTTCTGCTGCAAAGTCAGCTGATGTTCCTCTAGATGAAATTATGACCACAGCTGGCTGGCGTTCAAGCTCTGTGTTTGCTGTTTATTATAACAAACCACTGTTAAATGATAGTTCCTTTGCCAACAGTGTACTGGGAAAGAATTAGTGCCTTGGTAATAAATGCCATGCTTACGTTTCCTTATCTGGAATGTGTATTCTTTATTTTTGAGAGCCCTATAGAGCTCTAAAATCTCATGTGATCTCAGAATGTATGCAAATGCGAGGTAGAATTGAATAATTAAACGAGACTTACCTGTAAGTTGAAGTTTGATTGAGATTCTACCGTAGCATTTGCAGAAATGAAGAGATCACATCCCTCCCTTCCCCTTCCCCTGTTCATATCATCCTATGGTGTTGCATACACCATATATTTACTATTCATCTATGGGGTGGTCTACAGGACTCCTCAAAAAAAAAAAAATGCTTTCAAGACTGAGCTCGAAGTCACGTGACTTGCTATCTCATGTGATCTCTTCATTTCTGCAAATGCTACGGTAGAATCTCAATCAAACTTCAACTTACAGGTAAGTCTCGTTTAATTATTCAATTTTACAATTCGTTTTGGCCGAGCGCGACCTCGGGTTTAGTTTAGTTTTGCAAAGTTCGAGATGGCGGATCAATGTGCAGCTACCGAAGGTGAACTAAATTTCCAAAAAAGATGCACTGAAGCGAGAGAAATCAAAATTTCAGCGGGGAATTTGGAACGCACATACCCTAAAGGATTTAGGCAAGACATTCCACGAACTGAATAAGCTGGCTGAGTCAGTTGTGAAAGGGAGTTTTGGCGCGCTTCGCGAGCGCACCAATTACTACAGGATCGGCGAGATTATCTCCTATGCTTTAACGAAGCATGGATCGCGCAAATACCGCAATTATTCACCGTCTTAGTCCAAAAATGAGCATAGTGCATCCGTGGATGATTTGCTTTGACTTTCCCATGCCTCATGAAGTCTTTGATCTCTTGAACAAGGAGATTCTTGGTCTGACAAGATTTGGAATAGATACACCAGGTTCAGTGACTATAACATTTTCAAACCTGAGAAGATTATCGTATCTCTACGACCAGTTCCAAGATTGTGGTGGGTTTAGAAAGCAACTTGGTAAAGGAAAAAGAGAGGCAAAGCTTATTGTGAACTCCGAGAGGAAGGAAATAATGGTCTACAATTTTGAGAGCAAAATTTTTTATGGTTACTGGAATTCGTATGGGATTAGTCAGGATTAGTCAACAATGAATAGAGGATGCAAGGTTGAATCATACAGTAACAAGTATTTCCCTAATACCTCATTGACAAAAACCTGTCAACCTTTGTGCTTGGCTGATAACAAAAAAGACAGAATGCCTACCATGGATCATTGCAATTATTCCTTATATTTCACAATTTTTTTGAGAAATCCCGAAAATTGTAGAAATGCCAGTTTTTGCTGGGCACCCTTCTACCTCCTGTAACACTTGACTTAATTAATTTTAGCAAAGACTGCGATTTCTCCAATTTTTTGCAATTTTTGGAGAAATTGCAGAAATCGCAGTTTTTGCTGGGCACCCTTGTACCTCCTCTAACACTTGTCATAATTAATTTTAGCAAAAACTGCGATTTCTCCAATTTTTCACAATTTTTGGAGAAATCCCAGAAATTGCTGTTTTTGCTGGACACCCTTGTACCTCCTGTAACACTTGACTTAATTCATCATAAGCTAGAGGCCCGATTTTATTGGGCACACCAGGAGACCCCTTTTCCATGGTAACGAACGAGCTTTGCGGTCAGGCGCTCAATGCGGGGGGGGGAGGGGTGAAAATCATTTTGGAGGGGATTGACTGTGATGGCACCTTTGATCTTTGGAATATTTCTGAGGGGTGTAAGAAAAATTGGCTATTTCTGTGGGGGGAGGCAGGGGTACTGTGTCAGTACCTTTGATCTTTTTTTCTTTTCTTTTAGAACTCATCAGACACTCCGATCTTGCTTTCCAAACGCAACGTAAAGGCACTTTGGTCTATGGTGTTAAGTTTGAAGCCTCTTTGACATCACCCAGATACAAGATTTTCCTGGTTATGAAGTTTCTCTTGAAAGTGCCATAACAAGGATTATCAGGGAGTTGAGATTACATGGTGTGCAGAAAGAAATAATTGACCTAAGCCTCAAGCTTGATGGTAGGCCATTTGCAGGTGAGAACGCAATCTTTACTAAATACAGTGTAACTTATTTCCAGATTTCTTTATTGTATTTTGCAACAATTGTGTTGCACTTAAGAAAGAAAAACATAGAAACAAAATCAACAGGGAAATTGGGTTAAAAATTATGACACCAAGGGACATACAATAGTGTCCAAATTATTTCTTAACTGTGACTGAAACAAGTTCATCCTAACGAAACCCTGTGATCTTTTATCATAGGTGTAGTCTTGGACTGAAATAGTCTTTTTCGTCAGTATTCTTAAACATTTACTGTTCCGTATCCATAATAAATATTTTCACTTGAAAGATATTCGGTCATAGACAGTGCAGAGATAAAATAATGTAAAGCAGGGTATATAATATATGGGAGTTTAAAACTTGTTGTCCATATTATTGTTGTCTGTATTAGGGAGCATTACGGAACGGCGCCTGTAGATACGTGTCGCCCGCAAAATCGCGGGTCCCATGACTATTTGCGCGCTCACAAAGGGAGCCGACGCATGTCGCGTCCTTTGATTCAAGACTCAAGTGTTAGGGTATTGTTTCCACGATACAAAGGTAATTTAACTTAAGAAAATCTATACATCGAAGCTTTCGCGCTACTCTCTGTTTTATAAGGAAATGCAAACGCTCAACTTGATAAATATTTTGACTTCATAACATATTTTAACGATTTAGGCCAGCAAAATGTATAGAATTCCAGGAAAACAATTCAGGAAGCCGAACGGTTTTGAACTGCGCTGAAGTTATTTTTATCAGTATGCAAATCACCTACCCAATCACTTACTTTCCATCGAATTGAAATATCCTGACTTTTTTTTACCACTTTTCGATTTGATTCGTTTCATTTTATATTATTTTGTGCAAGCTGAGCTCTTTCATGCGAAGGAAACGTTGTGTTTACAATCACGGCAATTTGTATCTATTTCGCTTCACTTACGCTTATATGCAAATTATTGTTCATCCGCCGAATTTCGCTGGAGACAAAAATATAGATTTTGAATTCCCAAATGCTTGCCTTTTGGGGCACCCCTTTTATTTTGGCTATCAAGATTTTAAAAGCTAAGCTTGAGACTTTTCATTCCAACGTTTTAATGCGGGAAAGCTAGGAGAAATGCTCCAACTGATTTAAGTCACGCAACACGCTTTAAGACCGCATAACTTGATCTTTCTGTTATCTTTTGTTCTTCTATTGTCTCCAAAACAATAACGATGTTTTACCAATTTCCACCTACAAATAATAGGACACATTTGATTGACAGAAAAATTTGCATTTACTAGCGACGCGTATCTACAGGCGCGATTCCGTAATGGTAAATTTTAGAGAAAATACATGTGCTTTTTGTTGCGACAAATCTGTTAAATACAGGTGTCTGTATTAAGTTTGAGGGGGGGGTAACATCAAAGTGGCAAGGTAAAGATAACCAAACACTTTGAACTCTAGGTCATGAAGTGGTGCTTAAATTTTTGAAATGCCTTTTTTTTTGTTTCCTCTCATTTGTAGGGCGCAGTCAGGTCCTAATGGGTGTAGTCCCCAATGACACACCATTCTGAATGTGTAATCAGAGCTGTAAATCAGTGTGCCCTTTAGATATTGCTAATTGTAAGGAAGACAGGTATGTTGTATTTAAATTTGATTCATTAGTCAAATAGTTATTTGTTTCCAAAATAACTAGTTTTGTTAGTGAAAATTTTTATTGTACCTTTTTGACTGTGTAATTTTTGGTTGTCGACCAGTTATACATGTAAGCTGAAATAATTTGTGGATTTACAACAAATTTATTATAATTATGAGGCCTAAAGGCCCCAGTAAACGATCATTTTTGAAAATTAATTTACCGCAAAGGTCTAAATTTATTAGTGGGCCACTCAAACCAGACCTTTATATGTTTTCAAGTCTTAAGAACTATCTGCCGCAGACTAGACTAGCAGTATGGTATTTCATTTTCCTTTTTTTTTTTTTCATTTTAGTAATAACTTCAGTTTACTGGTAACTTTACTTTTGATTATTATTAGAAAAAAAAAAAAAAAAAAAAAAAAAAAGCTGATTGTCAATGTCAACAAACAAAAGGATGCACTAAAGAAGAATGGAATCACAGTGGATGGAGTGCATTATGCTGTGAGATTTAAAGGTAAGTTTCACATAATAATTAATAAGGTATTTTTTAGTACCATAATTTTCAATCCAAATGCCTTCATGTACATTGACCACTCTTTTCAAAAATTTATATCTACAGTTATACTTGACCTGAAGGCCCTCTATTTTTTGCTGGAACAAAATTAATAGGGAAAGCGAACCTTAAGCTTGGGAAACGAGGAACTGAAGTAGATTGTTGCTTTATCTGCAAAGTATTGAGGGTATGTGGATATGTTCAAAATCTCCGAGTCAACAAATTCTACTATGCAGGTTTTGACCTTACCAATGACCAACTTACTAATATATTACTATTAGATTTTCAGTTGTGCTGGGTAAAATTTCTTAGAAAAAACTAGCTATGAATAATGGCTATTTTTATGGGATGTTGCGATCTTGGTCCACATACAGTTTGTTTGAAACACTATATTAGCATGTCCAAGGCCAATATTGGAGGGTAATTTAGTTATAGTTTTAGTTTGCTAAGAATTTTCCGATGATACTTGTTGAGGCATGCAGCCCTTGATTATTCATGAATTTCAGCATTTGTAGTTGTCATTTTGAATTCACAGTAACTTCTAATTATAAAAGGCATTCAAAACATTAAGGGTATCTCAATATGGTTAACCTCTATTCAAAAAATTAAATTCCCTGGTATAGTGAGTGAATCCCTTCACCCCAGCATTTATAGCTTAACAAGTATGTTTTCTATAAAAGACTCACTTTTTATATAGACCTCATTTTAGCAATAATATTTTGTAAATTAAGCCTTGCCTTTTGTAAAAGGGGAACTTCCACTGCATGGAAAAGGAAGCAAAAAGCTTTTTTTGGAAAAACATGGTGTTTAATGCCCCTGTCTATAAAATGTTGGCAATTATCCTTGTCTTGTTTTCCTAGAGAGCACATATTATTTTCCCATAATAATGTACCACAGTCTTCCTTTACTGTAGGTGTGTCAATGTTGTAGAGGCACTGTCATAAAAGACTGAAAACCTGTCGAGTAAAATACTTGAGTTTGAAATCTATACAACTGTTAAGTACCACTTCAGGGGAGATATCCCTCACAACTAACAGAATAATTAATCTTCTTTTTTCTAGTTTCAAAGGCATCCGTGATGACTTAGAGTTCCTTGTTAAAGAGGATTTATCATCTATTAATCACTGCGTCCTTCACTGCGAACTTAGAAATACCGAAGAGTTGTTGTCATCATTGGGTTTGTTTTTGTACAAAGTGTGTTCACTTGATGAATGTGATGCCGAATTGGCAAATTATGGCCCTGAGAATTTTAGCAGCAGAATAACAGTGAAGATGAAGGAGGGCCAAGAAACTGCTGTTGAAAAGCACAACATCCAGGTGTCTTCATTTTCAGGTACCTTCTATATTGTTTCATTTTTATCATGATTGCTTTCATTCGCTTTATCCACTTCAGGGCTTTTACTTTTGTGCTGTAGCAGCTGCTTGAGTTTCATTTGTACAATACTTTGATCCTTAATATGAAAACTGTAACACTGGTTTGTAATGAAGATTTCATTAAGTTGTGAATTTAAATCCTGTTTGTTTCTTTCTGTACTATTTTTCCTGAAGGTTCTACTGAACGTGAGTTCCTCACAAACATTGAAACGATTGTCAGGAACTCCTTGCTTCATGACAAATTGAAGTCATATTTTTTAAGAGGCACTCCTGAATAAGGTCACAATATTTTGTAATGATAGAATCAAGGTATGGCTCAGGATATCACATGATTTGAATGTTTCACTTAAACCAGTGCAACACACAATAATATTTTTTGTGTAGTATGTAGAGACAATTACACTGAAAAAAATGGTTTCTGTTTAAAATATTCAATGAATTTTTAAAAATTTGTTTTAGTACTGTCAGGACATGGCTATTTCAGACACATTTACCAGACACTTTGGTTCAATTAAATCAAAGGAGGAGACTATTACCCTCACAGGTTCAGGTACATGTTACAGTCATTTTATACTGTTATTTAAAACCTTTCCTTCCCTTTGACTGTGATGAACTAGACAGTTTGAATTAATGACTGCAGGCTAGCTAGCACTGTTAGTATTAATATAACCCCATGACGTGACCATTGTGTATCAAGAGTACATCATTTTGCATCAGATTATTTCATCCCAACTGAGTGAATGTTCCTTAGCATGTAAAGCACACCCAGTGGTTTGTGTTCTTGCATAATAGTCCTCCCTTAAAAAGAATACCCCCTTACACTTCGTGATGTGACTACCTAACCTGTTTTCCTTAGAAACTGGAAAAGAAGTTCAAAGAAGACTGGAATTCTAGCTGGCAGAGTAGGTTACGTGAAATCGAGGAAAGATATGTGGAGCTGTCTAAGAAGTGTGTTGTTTGGTCGGTTGCTAAAGGGAAACGAGGAAAGAAAAGGCAGAAGGTGGACAATGCTGATCTTTCTCAGCTATCTGATTATGCAGCAGAAGTGTTCTACCAATTTCTTTTTAAAGGTAATCAAATAATCAAGTCTTTTTTACTTAATTGGAAGACACATTGGACAGTTTTATGAGAAGTAAGATATGGGGCAAAATCCAGACACGTTAAGTTAAAACTAGTCAAGCTGATTTTGCTTTTTTGAACAAAATTCTTAACTTTAATTTAACAAGTGGCAGTTACAAAACACAGGTCACAAGGGAAGGTGATCGATCACTGCATGCTCTTATAGCTGTAATGTCTGTAACAGGCCTTTCAGTCAAAATCAGAGGGAGCTAAAAATTTGTTCTCTGAGTATTTTTTTATTGTGCAAAAGGCAAGTCATTATGGTGCAATGTGGTTGATACAAAACAGCAATTTAATGCATATTTTTTATTGGCAAATGCTCAAAGTTGTCCTTCAGTCACATTAAATTTCTCTGAGGTCTATCTTAACTGCTTTGGTTCCCTAAAAGGTTGTGTTATGGACATTACACCAAGTGTTACGGACATTACTGTCTGTGAATTTTTTCTTGAAAATTATATTATGTGTACTATGATGCTAAAAAAATTGCTTATTTCATTTATTTTTATGTGTTAAGTTTACCATCAGCAATGTATAGAAGCCCTGAAAATTAAATGAAAACAAAAGCACACAAAAGCTGTTTTGTAATTATAGCTGGTCAGCGCATTCCTTTTCAGAGCATGCTCTGAACATTCTTTGAAAGAAAACCACTGACCAGTAGTTTTAATCAAATTATGACATCTCATTGTACTCTGAAAGTTACATAAACAAGATGGTTGTCTTTTCTAAAAAAAATGTCAAAACTGTAAACAGGGGCTGAAAGGGCCAGAACTTTTAGAACAAGACTCAAAGTAGATGTTGAGAGGTATAAGGCCTATAAGAACAAAGACAAAGAAAGGAAAAGAGTGCAAAGAAAAGGTCAAGCCCTTAGTCCAAGTGAAGTTGCAAGAAGGAAGAAACTCATCCGTGAAAGAGTCAGAAAATACAGGCAAAGACAAAAAGAGAAGAAAGCAAAAAACTCTTCCCAAGACCAAGATGTATCACAAGCTTACCAAACACATCAAGCTCTAGGAAAGGCTCTTGGTAAGGTCAGCAGCAGAGTGCTTCCCCAACGCCCCAAAAAACGAAAGGCTGTGGTTTTCAAACTAGCACATGCTTCAGGTTTTCTTAGGAAAAAGAAGTGCACTAGAGGTAACAGAGGTCTTCCAAAAGAGACGGTAAATCTTGTTAAAGTTTTCTTTCAGCTTGACTCCATCTCGCCAAGCACCAGGCAGAAAAGACTTTGTCACTGTTCGGGAAAACAACACAAAACATCATATCCAGAAAAGGCACTTGTTGTGGTTCCTAAGGGAATGTTATAGCATATTCATGAAAGAAAACCCCACCACTGAGATTGGCTTTAGTAAGTTTTGCTCCTTAAGGCCAGTGAATGTCTTGCTTTCTGCTGACATGCCTAGAGATGTTTGTCAAAATGCTTTGTGAGAGCCTGCATAAAGAAATAGATGATTTTCCACTGTACTCAGGAAGTTTTGCAGAAAATTTTGTTTGCAACCCTGAGTTAGAACTTTGCATGCTTGGCAAATGTAAAAAGTGTGCAAAATGCCCCAGCTTGTTGCAAAAAACAAGGTCAAGTGCAGGAAACCTTGATGAGCATGCAACATGGTATCAGTGGAAGCATGTGGAACAAATGGTGCAGGCAAAGAAAGGAAAAAGCATGTAAAGGGTAAAGAAAATTCAGAAAGTTCTGAAAGAGGGTACTGTTGATGATTTACTGGAAGATCTAGAAGTTCAGCTGCCATCATTCTTAGAAGATTTGTTTGTAAAGTGACAACAGGCAAGAATTTTCAAAGAGAAGATAGAACATCTGACAGAGGAAGAGGCAGTGGTGCAAGTTGATTTTGCTGAAAATTTCAGCTGCAAGTACCTGGGAGAAGTTCAGTCAGCACACTGGAGCCAAGACCAAGTTACCCTGTTCACTGTTGCAATCTGGACAAAGTCTGGAGACAAAAACAGCTGTTGTGAATCTCACGTCATTGTTTCACATGATTTGAAGCATGACAAAAACATCTGTTGCCGTGTTCAACGACCTTGTGAAGGGGAGACACCCAAACATAACTCGAGTTTGGATATTTTCAGATGGACCAAGCTCGCAGTTCAAGAACAGGTACATTGCCCATTTTCTCCATTTACTTCAAGGTCAAGGTCTTAACATCCAGTGGAACTAATTTGCCACATCACACGGGAAAGGGGCTGTTGATGGTATCGGGGGAACTGTGAAGCGCATGGTTTGGAATGCTGTATCCACAAGAAAGGTGGAAGCAGTCAAAGATGCTTGCTCTTTTGCAAGTGTTGCAAATAAGTTGAGCACATCTGTTGCGGTGACCTTTGTTGGATCTAAAGAATTAGAAGCTACTGCAGACTTACTTGGATTAAAGAAATTCTTCTCTGTTGCACCAGTAATCCCAGGTATTGCCAAATTTCACAGCTTAGAACCACTCAGGAATGGCCTTATTCGTTGCTGTACATACTCTTACCAGAGTACCTGGATTGAAATGGGTGTCCAGTTGTCTGGTTCAGAAAATGAAGACCTGGATCGAAATGATAGTGATGATCAAGACTCTTCCTCTCTAACCAAGGGAAGCAACAGTACCAGCAGTGCTGATGAAGACGAGACCAGTGGAGAGAAAGGAGACTTTTTCAGCTATGCTTCAAGAAACAGCCATCACACGTACAAAGAAGTTTCAAGTGAGAGCAGTAAGGAAGACAGTAAAAGTCATGATGAAGAGGGTGACGCGAGTGAAGAAGAAGGTGTGACTGGACACAAAGGTTCAGGTGGTCCAGATGCGAAAGAAAGTGACGAGGAAGAGATGTCAGAGAGGAAAGATATCCAAGTTCAGCAGGGCCTTCCTGACAAGCTACTATCATCGATATATTCAAAGGATGTGCTTTGTTCAGCCTTCCACATCATTTAGACTGCCAAGTAAATGCAGTTTCTGATGGCTGGATTAGCTTTGAAGGAGGTGGTATGATTCAAAATGATGATCTTAATGGTTTAATGGCAGGGGGAAGAAAATCCAAGATAAATGGTTGTCCAACTTTATTATTGATGAATACCAGAGGCTTATTCAAGTGACTTGTGCAGCTAACAACAGTTTGGCAGTTGAAACCTTGCCATGGGAGTTGTTTGAGAGAGCAGTTGGTTCACTACCAGTGCATCGCTTGTTGAAAGGGAGAAATCCACTTCTGCTTCAGGATGTGGTCCTTGTGCCATACAATACCCCAGAGTCTGAGCACTTGACTCTTCTAGCAGTTCTGCCAAAGGAGAAATCTGTTGTTGTCTTAGACAGTATCCCAAGTAACCACATTAAACATACAAGTCTTGATGCTATTTCTAAGATGCGTGGCCTTCTCAAAGAGATCAACAGCAATGTAGACCTGAATCAGTGCAAGCTTATAGTCAACAAAAAGGGAGATGTTCCTGAACAGACCAATGCCTATGACTGTGGAGTGTTCAGTTGCTTGTATGCAAGATGCTTGCAGGGTTGGTTATGGTGAGATGATCAGTGATGCCAGCAACTCAGATTTCAGGAAACTCATGCTGTTGGAATTGCATCAAAGAAAGCTACACCCAATCCCACCAGAATGCATCCTACCTGAGCAGTATTATGCTGTTGAATAATTATGTGGAAACTTACTACATTGGACATGAACTCAGTCAAGCTGATAGCTTTGTAAGATTCAAGTTCCTCCATCGAGTGGGTGCAAAGAGTTTTGACTGGCCCAGCCAGGATGACGTTGATGATGTTCACATCTCTTGTGTGTTTTATGGCCCCGTCACCCTAGACAGTGGTGGCCCATTTGCTGTTCCAAAACAGCAAAACATTGAAAAAAGGTTTAAAGAAATTAAAAAGCAAAGAAAGTCTCATTAAGATGCTACGCGGCTGATCAGTTTTTAGGCGAATAAAACAACTCTGGTCTTTTAAGAAGAACATGTTTTCTTACTCGGCACTGTTTGAATTTCTTGTTATGCAAATCTGAAACTTTTGTTTAGCTTTAGCATTATTTCATTTATTGTGGATAAATTATAGAGCTCAGTTGGTACCCTAACTGTCACTTGGCTCAATACCTTTGGATATTTGTATAAAGACACTTAAGAATACTTACATTTCATTTTTGCCTTAGAGACTTGTATTGTTATAGACATTATGTTACAGACATTACCTATCTTTGAAATAGTTTCTATGATTAAAAAGCCTACTAGAAATAAAAAGCTTATCAGACAAATGATGTTACTAACAAATCCAAGGAGTAGGTCAAGTTATTTTCAATTGATTAAAGGGTGAAATCCTGTCTGACACAAAGAAAGAAGTGAAATTTTGTTACGGACATTACTCATCTACTTAGATATTTTCTACTAGCCAAAAATGGGGAAAAATTATCGAAAACCATCAAATTTTTTTCTCATGTGAAAAAAAGGCTTATGCTCTAATTATACCTCAGTTTCAGTGGACTGCATTAATTTTGATATTTTCACAAATTGTTCCTTAACTTGCACCTGTGGGTCCCATGTTTTCCTTGTTTATAATTATGACCTATTGAGTAGTAGATCGCCTGCGGAGTGCATAAGGGCGAAAACAGAAATGACATGTATGTTTTTAATACAATGATGTGTCTTCTCTTTAATGGCACAGAAATTAATTCCAAGATCCTTCTTTTAAAAATGATTGATTTTTCACCTCTCATGTGGAATTGCCCAAAGTACCATTTTGGAAATGAAGTCCTCTTAATGGAAAATGCATAGTGTCTAAAACTATTACAATAATAAATTTAGACAAGAAGGTTAAATACAATTGTAGTGGATTTTCTTGTAAATCTTTTACCAGTGACTGCGCAACAATTAAAAGCCATTGCATGACGAGAAATTCAAAAATAATTTCCAGTCACTTTAACTGACATTCAAAAACAAAAAAGAAGGAAAGAAAGAAATGCTTAATGAGTGTCTATCTGACAAAGGTACGGCAAACCTTTACATCCAATTTTTTAGATTTAAAAAAAAAAACAGATCTAAATATTAGTACAAGATCTATATCAGAGATTTTGACGCTGTTCAAAAAATTTGCAGTCATGTATAATCAGAACCTGGAAATACACTCAGGCTGGTCTTTTAAACAATACTTCAAGTTTGATTATAGAATGAGGCACATGCATTATTATTTTAAAAGTAAAATCATGTTTATCTCTCCTAAAATTTTTAAGATATTCACAAAGTACAGGTCACATTCCCCAGGTAATAGGTACATGTCACTGCTCCATAGATGAATTGCCAAACCACACAGATTCCCCTCTATCTAATGGAGCATTTTGTTAAGAGTTTAGGGCTTGCAAACACTTTTAATACTATTCATTTGTCTGTATCATGGTGAACTGTACTCTGACAGTGTGGAAAAGTTACCTGTATTTTAGACCCTCCTTAACAAAATTTCTACCCTGTAACAGCTCTGTAGCATCAGTGGAACAGGGTTGTAAAACTAACCTGTGACAACCTGTTACAGCTCGTCATTTGGCACAGTTAGCAAGGCTGTTTCTACACTGTAGCAGCCTTGGAACAGCCCTGTCACGTTTAACTCAAAATTTCTTAGTAGACACCCTGTAACAGCGATGTTACAACCCTGTTTCCACCCTGTAATGGACATCCCTGCCACAGCTCGTGAATTGGCACAGTTAGCAAGGCTGTTTTTACACTGTCGCATTCCTTTAACAGCCTTGGTACAGGTTTCATGCATTACAACCCTGTTACAACTTGTTAATTGGCAGTTAACAAGGCTTTTTTTTTACCAGGTGCCAATGTTGTGATACTCCCTCTCACACAGTATACACTTTAGACAGCAACCGTTTAACTTCTATACATTAGAATTATAGGACTATCAGAACAGAATTTTTTATAACTTCACATCTGTCAAAGATGAAACTTAATCTTTTTTAGGCATATTTGAACTCATGAAAATTCCTGAAGCAAAGGAACGATTTGCGCCACAAAAAGCTTCAAAGTTGAACCACCAACGGCTGGTTTAGTCCGTTTAGTCACTTAAGTAACAAAAGCAATGCATTTCCACAAACATACATTGAAAGGACACTTTCGATAAAGGAAAACAGTAAATGCAGTCAATTAAGAACTTAACGTTACTTTATTTTTCACGTGCCGACGTTACAGTGTGTAAAAATATAAACAGAAAAAAATTTAAACTGCATGCAACAGTCTGATCTGGCTTGTAAACACTTGCTTCCTTTGCTCGATTTAATGTACAACTAGCACGTCAAAATGCCGACTTTACAATAACTGTCCCAAAAAACAAAAAAAAACGATTTTTGTCCGCAATTATAAGAGATGAAACACGGAATTGTTCCATTGTAACAACGGTTCCGAGGTTGACAGTTTATAGTTGTTTTGTTCGTTGTAACAAGCTTAATTTGAAATCGCTCACCTCGATCGTCTTTCCTTCATGATCCACAATGTGTTACATTTCCTCATGAAAAGAGCCAATCCATTTGTGTTTCAGTTGTTGCTGAATTGTTTAATGGTGTACGAAATGAACTCGCATTATTACTAGGCAGGGCAAACAATCTTTGAATCTTGCAAGTGCCGCGGAATGTTTTCTGTCCACTATATCGATCTGTTTCCCATTCGTTGAGAGCTGGTCAAAGCACAGTTATTTTTTTGCTAATACTTTTTCACTCTCTGCTTCAAAAGCAGCAAAAAACGCTCTACAGCCTTTCTAAATCTAAACTGGATGCAGAAAGCGTTTGAATATTTTCGCTTTTCATTCAAATGATCGTGAGTCCTTTCAGGAATGGAGATGTGTAATGCGATCTTCCGGTAAAAGTGCTGACCAATAAGATTAAAGTCTTGGATTTCTCCAGGGAATTACCAAGGGCGTGTCTGTCACGGAATGAAAATATTGAAGTCCCCTCGATCTCTAAGGAAAGAATGTAATTCCATGCTTGCAGAGGTCTCTCACGCAGGAAAACAAATTGAAGTGATCTGAAAGTCTTTCAGTTTTTGTACATTGTTGTAAAAAATTAAGTAAGTTACAGCGGTTTTTTTTCATTTAAAACAACAGGAAGAACAGGAGCTGATGTAATAGGTGTTTGTAAAAATGGTAAGCTGATCATATAAAGAAGGTCTTCGTTTTTAACATGAGATAAAAGTCTTATAAAGAAACCAACCTCAAACTACAAAGGTAGCCACAAAATCGGTAATTAATTAAAGTAAGTGTCAA